ATAAGTTGGTAAGGGGGAGTCAATGTTGATAATGCCTTCCTGCTTTAGATGAAATTGATATTATTAAGGGTTGTAAATCCTAAGGGTTGTAAATCCTAATATGAATGACTGTTGTTCCATTTTAGAAAGACATGAAATAAAAGTAATAACAACATTTTTTTACAAGTATTTACATAAACACAAGTTAAAGTAGTAATGTGCAAAACATTATTTAATAGAAATATAACCAAAAACATGTATACAAAAGAAGTTGTCCAGAAATGTCCACTACAAATAAAGTAAAATATAATAAAATGATGAATAAACATAATTTTAAGTTATAGTTATAATCTGCATAGTGTACTTCAATAAATACAAGGGATATTCCAATATATCAAGTGGTGTATTAGTATTTATTGAACCCAACTTAACCACTCTGCTTCAGTCCACAGTAACTTCAAATGGACCTGTCATGCAGAAGGAGAGATAGTGTTGAGGTTTCTTGCACATTTCATTCCCGGGACATCAGACACAGTTCTACACTTAAAGAAAAACAAACATATGACCTTTGCATGATACATTTCCTGCTAAAAGGGGTTAGCAACCATTTCTCCATATGTTCGCACTAAACTTAAATGTTAGCAACACAGGTGTGTTTTGGTGCACAAAAAGCACAATGGAAGTCTTTTTTCAGTGACTTGTATTCACGTTATAATTAAAATCGGACACTTTGGGTGTTTATTAGTTTACACATTTCTATCTTCACGGTCAACTTTTATTTTTTCACTTTTTTAGCTCTGTTTTATCTTTTATTTTGAGATGTTTATATTGTATAATTGTATATTTTGTACCCTATTTCGAATTATATGCAAGACTTTTAAATGCTGCGGCAACGAAAAGACAAAAAGTATATCTTATCTTATCTTTATAAGAGAAAGCCGTTTGATTGGATGGGAGTGGTGGAGGGGCGGGGTTGATGTAGAATGAGATGGTTTTATTGGCTACAGGATGTGTGTGTTTGCCAGGATAAGATTGAAAGGAAAGCTAGGGTCTCTGACTCCCACGTTTTCTCACTGAAACATGTTAAAGGTTCTAGAGGAATGAAGGATGATTCATGGTTGAGTATTCTTTACAATGTATTACATACAGTCAATTCAGACAGAAGCTGCCATTATGAGGTCTGGAAGAAGATCATTGGCTTAGGTGTAGTTACATACAATGACTATTACAACTATTTTGATGTTGAAGGTTTACAGGCTGAACACTGAAAATAAATGCCTTTGTCCCAACTCAAATAAGATGTTCTTTCAGGAGGAGAGTGTTACCTCTACTTCTGTTGACTTTTAAATCAAATGTTTACAACTCACTTTTGTGTACATGTTTATATTTACACAAGGTTAACCTATAAAACAATGTAGGAATATATCCAAAGCTTTATGAAGGCCAATTTCATGTTTTTATTCTGTTTTGTTCATTTAAAAATTATGGTAGCGAATGTAGACCCCATTATTACATTTTAAATATGAATTGAAATTGTTCACATTTTTATTTTAAATTAAACTAATTGTCTTATTTGTGAAAACATTTAAGTTCTCTTAAATTCAACTTTTTCTCTTTCATTCTCTGACCTTTCAACTTTAACCTCTCCAGTCTGACCACAACAACACCTCCTGGGGAGTATATATATGTGTGTGTGTGTGTGTGTGTGTGTGTGTGTGTGTGTGTGTGTGTGTGTGTGTGTGTGTGTGTGTGTGTGTGTGTGTGTGTGTGTGTGTGTGTGTGTGTGTGTGTGTGTGTGTGTGTGTGTGTGGAGGCCGGAGGGAGGGCATTGCACCTTGGACCTAAATTCTTGGCATTTTTTCACCAGTAATGAGAAAGAAGTGGAGATTAAGGAGCCTATAGAGAGTCCATGCTTCTGATTGGCCAGGAGGCGTATCACACTGGGCTTTGATTGGCTGGGATGAGTTCTTTTGTTGCTCTTTCGCATATAGAACTTCCTGCCCTGTCCTCTTCCTGGTTCCTCTGCATGTGTGTGAGTGTTTCTTCTTCTGTGCACACGATGCAATGCATTGATTCCTTAGGAAAACTCTAGCTAATACGTTAGCTGCTAGCAAACCGAACTTATTCAATAATAACACTCATTCTCATCAGTTGGATGGACGGACGGACGGACGGATGGATACTTTAGTTATTTTGTTCCAGCAGCAGTGTCAAGCATTACACACAAAATAGTCTAACAGGTACAATAAGATACAAATATAATGAAAATGTACATTAGCGGCAAGTATATATTAAGTCTATAAAGGGAAGTAAAGGCTGTATCAACATGTACAATCTAAAAGTAAAGTATATAATAGATATAATAGAACTAAATTCTCCTTGCCTTTTCAAACAATATGAGAAAAGTCATATTATAGAAAGAAAGTCACTGTACGGTATGAAAAAAAGAAAATAGTCAAAGTTTGTCAAACAATATGAAAGAAATACATGTTATGTTGTATACAAAAATGTACCGACAGTATGTCGAAGAACATATAGTGTCGTAGTAAAGCATGTTGGGCAGCTGTGGCTCAGTGGATAGTGTGCTGGACTTCAAATCAGGGGGTAGCAAGTTCAAGTCCCACTGCAGTCAGCATGTCGTTGTGTCCCTGGGCAAGACACGTCACCCCAAACTGCTCCGGTGGGGATTGTCCACAGTATTGAATGTATGTAAGTTGCTTTGGATAAAAGCGTCTAACAAATGACAAATGAAAAAAGGGAGGTATTGGGTTATCTGGCAGTTGAACTGATCCTGATGTTTGAAACAATCTAGGAACAAACCCCTCTGTTATGTGATGAGAAATAGGATTAGTAACATAGCTAAGAGAAACAGAAATGCAGACAAACATGATGTCTTTTTGGAATGATTTCTGTGATTTTCAGACCTCATTTTATTTGTATTTACCCTGTGCTCTTCCCTCATATTCCCCTCCCAGCATCACATGCTGCGGGGATCCCATGCCTGATGGCTCGAAGATCTAAAAGACTGCTTTGTTCTGATCGCACAGGTGCAAAGATTATTAACTACAATAAACAACCAAAAATGAACCAAACTTATGTGTTTTTTTTAATATATCAAAACCCTGCCTCTATTACCTTAACCCAGTGGTTCTCAAACTTTTTCTGTCAGGCCCCCCCTTTGGAGAAAAAAAAAGTCGGGCCCCCCAACACAAATGGTCAGGCTCAGTGGCGGCGCCAGAGATTTATTTTGGGGGTGCTGTGGGGTAGCTTGGCGTTTCATAGAGGGTGCTCAAACATTTAGGGTTTCCCATTAATGTACCGGGCGCTACAGTAGAATGTTCTACTGCAACAATCCCCACGCATATACACAATGTACCCGTGACTGTTACAATGAAGGCTCGATAATCAGCTCACGGCATATAGGTGTAAGCAGGGGTAAAGTGCTATTTTTATAGGTGGTGTGTGGACCTTACATAGGGGGGAAGATTTTTAAATATTGAAGTTAAAAGCATCAATCTGGTGCACTTTGAGAGCAAAATGAAGAGATCTATGGATACATCTCTCAACACCCATTTGAAACAGAACTGTAAACAGATTTACTTTTTCTTTATGGATATTTTACAAATCACTCCCTTTTAAACTTCATTCTTTTTTTACTGTCATATAGTATTTCATACCTGTTTTTAATTTATTCTCTTATTTTTTTAATAATTATAATGATCGTATGAAGGTGTGCCTCGGAAATAATCTTTTACATAGCCGGTTATCCTAAATGAAACACAGCACCTGGCCCCCAACCCCTGGGTACTCGATTTCGATGATAGTCACAATAGAGTCACCCAGAGTTCCAA